AAGTTCTTTTTGAAATTTCCAAAAATTCTTAAAACTTTTATGAACCGTTCAGAAGCAAAAAGGTTAATTTGATTTATTACCCTTCTTACGTCGGCCAATATGATCTCTCCGACAATTTCAAAATCGTATCATTGCAAAATATCAATCAGTCGCTATCGGTAGCGAAACGAAATTGTCAATTACATCCATCCATCCATTTCATCATGACAAAAACAAGCGAAGAGTACGTAAATTTATCGAATTCCCAAATAACTGATCAGTATAACTTCAACGAAAGATACAGTATATTGAATCAATTGCCTAATAACTGCCGCCACTGGTATATTTATCTAGAGGAGTTGGATAAAACAAGAAGGGAACGCAACGAACATTTAAGAAGTGAAAGCAAAGATTTGAAAAATTTTCTGGAACGATTTCCAGTTTAAAGTGATTAGCGCAGTGAAGCATTTTCCACTAACGTTCTCTGTCGGAGTTTGAATTATGACTCGGATTCATATAATAAGAGTTAGAGATCGTTTAAACTTCTTTATTTTTCTATACAAACCACGTTCGCAGAAATCGCAGTTTATTATAATAAAAGTGAGCCCATTACACACCCGCCAATTTTGAATTTAAAATAAAGTTCCAGTAAAGATTTGATCTTGAAAAGTGTATATAACCTTCCGGATAACATATACTTTTTAAAGAAGTGGAGAGCTAGCACGAAGTTTACAATATAATAAGAATAGGACAGAAATTTTGGACTTTTTGTCGATGTAGCATGTAGAAAGTGTCATCGTGGATCATTTATATGAACGATTAAAGTAAAATTTTTAATCGGTTTCATGATAAGCATAAGCTATTCATGGTTTAAAGGAAAGCGTACACTATTTGTTGCTGAAATTAAAAATCATCGTCACAGCTAGAGAAACAACGGAAGGTCAAGATTTTATTATATATCGACAAAAGGAAGGTTAACTAAATACGCTCTAGAACTACGATACGATCTCAAATGTCGTATAATCTATAATCGTATTGTAGATTAAAGGGTAATATTGCTGCAATAGCCTAAAAAATAATTTTTTTTTTTTTTTTGAAGAAGAAGGAGCAGAATATTGACATTCGGATAAGTTAGAAGTTAGAAGTTTTCAATAAAACCGATAGCCCTAGGCGCTAGTGCTTTAAGACCATATTCTTCGAATTTATTTCTTTGGCTAAATTAATTATAATAATAATATTAGGCGTGTATTTAAGTATTAAATAAAAAAAATTGTTTTGGAAAAATATTGAAAAAGTACTAACGCAACAATCATTTTCTGCAGATATCTACCTCTCAAGAGGTTCTGCGGGACGTAGTGTATCTGGTCGAAATTTGAAATTAATAAACAAACATATAAGGAACTTATATTCGCCGCGATCGAATCTTTTACACCCACCACCGCTTAATGCTGACTGATAATATGTACGCTTTGTACGGTCTCTGAAGCTTCTTTTTAGATGCTGCAAGCTACCTAATCGATTTTTTCCAGTTTTCTGCAGGTGTTGCAGAACCACCCATACGATACAAATATTAATTTTTATCCTTGTATCGATCAAAAAATCAAATTTGTTTTGCAAGATGCTTGCGTGCATTTCTATCATTTTTTTCACTTGAACACCATTTATTCAGCAAATTTGCTACAGTATATATGGCAACAGAGCGATACCTTAACGAAAGAACGATATTAGTTTGCCAGCGCTCCCAGCATCGAGCTATATCTGAATTTCTGTAGCATTTCGAAACCGCGCGCCAGCCAAGCCACCCTACATTGATCTGGACGAACGGTAATCAGAAGGCGCTGTAGCTGGTGAATATGCTGGTACCGGCAGAGTTTTCCAATCGAGCTGCAACAGCGTATTCTCAACAACTCTTGCAACGTGTGATTACCATACAAGAGGACGATTTTACATGTGTTAACCGCTACTCCTTTCCCTTTGTTCAATTTATTCAATTAACGTCGACAGGCATCTGCAATAATACACATTTTCATGCGGCTTTAACAGTCGTATGTGTAATGGAGTACATTTCGCTGATTCGGCCATATGCACAGCAAAACTTTTCGGCTATGAATATTCGATAACGATTTTGATAGACGATTGGTGGATCCGTCACTCATCACTAGTCACAATACATCATAGAAAATTTTTCTTTTTTTGCCTGCGACGTTGAAACGGTTCGAAATGCCATTCGCCGTCAATTCTTGTGGTAACCATTTCTCCTCCTTCTGCATCTTTACAATCGTAGGTAAACGTCTAGAAATAGTTGAATCATCAATTACTAAGTTGTTCGAAAAGTTTTTGATTGTTTGAGCTGGGGTTTCGTCCAATAAGCCTTGCACTTCATTGCCTGCGAACTTTCTTGGTCCTCTAGGTCGTTCTTTGTCATCGACATCAAACACTTCTAAACCATTGAAATTAAAACACGACAATTGGGATATGATCGAGCAGCTTCTAAAAGTGTTTGATGGACATCGGCAGCGGGTGTCTGCAAATCAAAGAACGAAAGTAATGAATGTCGAAAATGCAAATTCATGGAAATGCGTGATCCATGATTATCGTCTGTATATACTGATACTTTGCATTACTTAATGATTATCGCTAACAGATGTCGTTGATCAAAATACATGCAAGCGTCATTCTCTACAGAATTATCTTTTAAAGATGGGGTAAGAAATTTGAATGAACGAAATGAAAGGAACGAAAACTTAGTGTCATTCTTAGAACAAATTAAAGTTTTGAGATATGCTATTAAAGGCATATTTTTTTGTCACAATAAATAGTTTTTAATTTTCTTTTTTCTGCAATCCCAGCACTATAAATATGTGCGTCTATGTTCAAATATTCTTTGCCGTTATTCTTCCCTTGACGATTGTTTACTCATTCGTTGCAAGGACAGAACCGCACGCATATCTTGCATTGCGTATTGATTGAGAAGACGACAAGAATATATAAAATTCTAGAGCTGATTTCATAAGTAACCCAAAAACTTCATCCCAAACTTTTAATTTCGCGGTAAAAGCATTCAAAGCTTCGGTGCCCCTTTAAGCCTCATATATCCTCAAAGATCATCTCTAAGGAAGCTGTACATTCACACATTCTCTTTTTGCACGGCCTCTAAAGGAAAATAAAAACTGTCCAAAGACAGTGTTTTCGAGAAATTAGAAAACAACAGGTAAGTCATTGGGCTGCAACTCCCAAGCAAAGATTTATTTCACAAAAGTATTCTTACCCCAGTGCCTGGCGAAGAGCTCGCAATTTTCAAAACACCAATTTTTTCCAATATATTCTAGAAGGCTCAACTTGTCTATTAAATTAACAACAACAAAAATGTCTATTTTCTGGCAAATGTGCCTCTTAAAGTATCTAAATTTGATCCAACAATATATATATATATTATTTTTCTTGTAGGAATCAAGTTCCTTCTCTATAAAAGCGGAAATAAATCTGAATATGTAAAGTCTTGGGAATGCGCATTTTGACAATCAAACGACCGCTTTGTGCTCCCGAGGTATATATATATATATGTATAAAATGTATATATATTCAATTGCAATATATTACGATATTACTGCGTCCAAAACGGAAGACCATTTTAATTTTATCTTTTTTTTAAATGTATTTATTATTCCAAATTATTCCAAATTTATTTCATTACCTTCAAAGTAATTCTTAAACTCAAATAATATTCTTTGGTAGGTTTTGGCCGACGCAACGAATTCACATTGCACAGCATTACGATAATTGAAGAAACCTGTTAACCTCATCTTAATTTTTGAGCGACTTTGTGCGGTTTTTTTAGTAGTGGTTCGCCATTTGCATTATATGCCGTGCATTGAAGTGGCGTAGATCCAAATCTCATTCCATTTCATTTAGCAAACAAAATTTATTGCAGCTTTTTTGCTCAAAAATATCATACATTTGACACAGATGTCCGTCACAATGCTACCAATGGACAATGCTAGTCTTATATTCGATATAAGCAATTTAAAGTGCATATTATTACCCATCTGGGTGGTCGAGCAGGCAAAAGACCTCGATTAACCACTCAACGATCGTGCATCAAATGCCTTGGAGTTTTCAATAAAGCCGATAGATAGGCTTATATGACAATGCTGTAAGTCTTAGAATTTGTTTCTCTTGCTATATTAATATTAATAATGATACTATATATAATAACTTGAATATTGGCATTACTTTTTGGTCGTAGTAGATTAAAATATCATTTGATCGTTTCATTTGCTGAATGCATTTGACTTCAAATCTGTTGTGCTGATCGAAGTCCGCATGCCAAAGAAATACTGCTAATCAAAATAAAAGGAGCGATGTCTTGTGAAAATAGATCCTCGTTGTGCTGTCACGGAAGAACAACGAAATAGAAATCTTGCAATCAATTTCGAAAGGTAGAAGGTTTAGAGATCACTTTCGATTTGATGAATGTAGGGAGAAATCAAACAAGTTGCTTATTGTAAAATGCACGTAGTCTTGTAGAAGAAAAAACACCCTCTTTTCTCAGCCCGTTTCATATAATTGATTTAAACTTTGGCTATTCGTAATTTCTTGCAATTGAGGACATAGAGGAAGATAAGAAAAGAAATAATAGGGAACTGATTTTCTAGGTTCCAAGGGAACGATTTCTCTAACTGTAATAATATATTAAGAGGAGACCTCCAGTGCAGTAATAGATTTCAGTCGTTTAATGAATACTTTTCGAATCATTATTATTCGAGTTGGACCAAAGAGAACTGTGAAAATTAATTTCGTCAAATTCACAAAATAACGAGTACCAATGTGAATTGATAATTTACGGTTTTCAAATTCGGGCGAATGAACAGCTCCGCTGAAGCCGGATTAGTGATTTGCCGGATTTTCTTCTTTTTCTGCCACGTCTTCGTTCCGATGAAATGATTGCGTTGCATTGTCGTGAAACAAAATGACGAATGAATTGAAAAGACTTGAATGTTGTTTTTAATGCTGTGTATTAATTAATTTTTTGTTTATTTATTTATTTTTTTTTTTGTATAATTATTATTAATAATTAATTAATCAGGTCAACAGATTTAATTGTTAACATCAAATTAAATACAAAATCTAAAGTAAAGTGAAATGAGAAAATTGACGATTGAAGGACGTTCAAATTAGATGATTCAACTATTAATTCGTTTCGTAGTTTGTTCTTTCTTTAACGCATACATGTACATATTATCCCTAAACGTGATTTAATAGATAGGCGAGAGACTTTCAGTGCAAATATTTTCTCCTCAGACTTTAAACATCATCATCATTATCATTATCATTATCATTATCATCATCAGCATCATCATCATCATCATCATCATCATCATCATTGTTTTCAACATTAGCAAGCATTTTAATTCTTTTTCAAACTTTCCATCACCAAAGGTAAATTCTTGCTAATGAAACATTTGAAGCCGCGGAACGCCCAAGTACATGAATCTGATTTTTCTGTATTCTTATCTGCGCATTTTTCAATATCGGCTTTAACTTCATCTTTATTATCTTTCGATTGACCGAGTTGAGCGATTAGATTATCATTTTTGAAACCCGTTTGTGAATCGAAAAGTTGGAATTTATCGAAAATGCATTCAATGTAACAGCGCGTAATCTCATCATCGGGGAAATCAAATTTTTTGTATTTCTCGACGAGCTCGGGTGTGACTTTCTTCGCTTCCATGCATTCTTTACGCGCCTTATTTAAATCCTCTTGATTGCGTAATTTGTAATCGGCAGATACCTATGGAAGGATAAATGGGAGAAATGACTCAAAATGGTCCTTAGAAATTCTTCCTTTCTTTTTGTTTTGCATTATGTTTTTCCCCCCTTTCATTTCACTTACCAAAGCGAAAAGGGCCAACAATACAACGGCGGTAGTCTTCATTTTTGTATAAAAATTTAAAATTATATTTTAATTTATTTCACTAAAAATGACAATAATGAGATGAGACCTTTTTGCTTTTTTTTTTCTTAACGAGATTTTCTAATGTACGCGTTGGTTTGAATCGTATTTTACTGATGGCAATTAAGCCTAACGCTTCGCTTTATATAGTCTCGAATCTCTCTCGGAGAAAAGCAAAATCGAAACGAAACAAGTATGTATACGAAAACGAAAGACAGAAGAAGTTGCTCGAACAAAACAAACAAACAAACAAACTAACAAACAGTTTCAATAACAATGTTGCCGACTACGTCGATGTTGTTGTAATTGTTTATAATGGGATGGGCAGAGGGAGGGTGAAAAAAGTTACTGCAAACCCTACACTTCCTACATAAATAAAAAAGTCGGTAGTGGGCAGACAGATACTTATAGTGTAAATAAGCCTAAAGTAGACGTAATCTTTACTAGACTTAAGTGTGTGTAAGTAAACAATTCGCATTCGTGTACCCGATTAAGCGAGCGTCCGAGCGGCCAACCGGCCGGTTATATAGATTTAATGCTTCGCGTATGGTTTGCCGTTATTATAACGTTCTGCTTATGGATATGTATTTATGTTGATTGGACACAATTTCATATAAACTATATATACATACACACACATACATACATACATACAAACACAAAGATATTTACTTACAAATATTTATGAATGTTTATCACAATTTGTAATTGCATTGTTGAGTAAATTTAATCAGATTCACATTAATTTACCGGTCAACTTGTCAACTCACACATATCTTCAACAACTGCTCTGCTCTGCTTAGTTAAGCCCCTTTTGCCCACTTTCTCCTTTCGCCTTACTCGCAATCTCACAATCGTATAGCATGCTTCTGCCTGTTGAGTTAATGTAAAGTTTTATAGCACACATGTTAGTTTACACTTATTTATATATATATATATATATATATGTACGTATATAAATGAATGTTTGCAGAAATTTTTTGGAAATTTTCCTTTCATTCATTACTCGCTATATAGTTGCCTGATTTTATTAAACAAAAAAATATTTTTTAATAAAATTTAAATGGGCTTTCATTCATTCTTGCATTCATTCTTCACACGCTTCCCAAGCTCCATCGAAATCGTCTCATTAGGGTCACAATAATGATTTGTATTAAGACGACAGAGAGAGGAAGGAAAAGAAAAGCATACAACAAATGCACAGCTACGCAGAAATCTCGTATCTTCAATTTGGATCTATTGCTCTAATTGGTTTAATGCCCTCTATCTTTCTTTTCTCTTTTTTTTTTGCTTTTTTTTTTTTGAATAGAGGGAAAGAATTTGATGAAAAAGAAAAATGTTTCGCGAGCGCTTGTCTGCATATGAAAATTTTTAATAATGAACTTCCGTATCGCGCCTTCGCATGCTCTCCGATGGTCGGATAAAATATATACTACTATTGTATCTACTATTAAAAGATTGCTAACAATGCTAGCAAATTCGAATGCAGGATCACAGCGATACTATGTTGATCCATTACGTCGATTTATATCTGTCCTAAAATGGGAAACAGCGTTTAGATAGAAAGCAGTGCCGGCATAATTTTGAAAAATGCTTTAATTAAATCTTAGATTGCCGTAGATCGCGCTACCTTTTCGAAAATTTCGCTTTTTAAATTTCTAGTTTTGTTTACACCGTATCGTTTGAGTAGAAAATAATATCAATTCTTATAGTAAATAACGCTCGTAGCCTCCGCTAAATTTTAGAAGACTATTTTCTACCTTCACTTGTCCGAATATTTTCGTATCGTATTTTCGCAGCAACTTCTACATAACTGTTAAAAGTAAGAAGCTAATGTACAACAGAAGCTACTCTTAGCATATGATCTCCGTAGACGTTGTTAAGCTTACGAAAATTTCGAACTTTGAAAGCTCATCTAGGCAAACTTCTTGTCTTTGGTGAAGAAGAGAACAAAAGTGTAGCTATTAGAAGTTTATTAGTTAGGTCCAAATATACCACTACACCTACAATCTTACTAGTTACAAATAACACTCCTTGATTTTTTCAGTTTCAAAAGATTCTTGATACTTTCTTTCCCTAGACTTAAAAAATAGACTCGATACTTTTCGACTAACACGACATAGGAATTGCTGGGAAATACAATATCGATATATAAATTATTACAATTAAATGATGGAAAAACGAACGAGCGCGAAGCCAAGCAAAATTCTAGAGAACAATTTTCGGGTAGTTTCTTGCATGTAAAAATTTCAGAGCGAAAAGAAGGATGATTGCTATGCTTCGCTTTTTGATGCGGAATGAAATAAGAATGAAGATGAAAAGGAGCGTGAGGAACATGAAAAACTGGCATTAATCCTATACGCCAGATAATGCTTGAAAAAGAGGACAAAGTGTTGGCCGCAAAAGTTATTAATATTAGCAAACTGAATTCCAATGAACTGAAAACCTGAGTGAGAGAAGCTGTAATACCACAGAAGATGAAAACTTCGTCAATGATAGTGAAGGCTCAGCGGATTTGGAATGTGAGAAACGTTGCCATACACACACGAAGAACCTGATAATTATAAAGAAATATGCAATTTCCCAGCCCAGCAGGCAAATATTCATTTATGTGGACTGGATATATAATTTCCCTCAAATGTCAAACATTCATGTTAAATCACGTGGCAACGGTATTTCATTACCTTCGGTCTATTTGCATACACACCAGAATTTACATCGACATAGGGGTTGGTGTAAGAAATACAACGTCCACACGTTTTCGCGTAGGCTCTCGATTGTTAACCTTCGCAAGAATACGGAAAGCTTTCAAAAATTTTGAACTTTGCGCCTTCTATGTGGGTATAGGAAAGTTTCTACTGCCGTAAATTCCTACCTGGGAAAGCCTTCATTATTATTCATGAGAACGATTACATAACTACATAAAATAATATAAATGATCGTGGAAGAAGCAGCAAACTTTTCCGCTTCTTCTTATTACGGCCTCACTTTAACTATTCAGATGAAAATACTACTCTGGTCTGCAAAATATTCTTTCGATATATATGTGCACGAAATTGTAGTCTTCTATTAAAATATTCTTCATTGCATGAATCTCGACGAGAGTTTCATAACATATCGGAATAGATGGTTAGTCGATAAAGAATTTTGCATCGATTATCGACCGTTTGAATGTAAATGCTATCTTAAAAGTAAAATACCCTCAGGATACACTTATTGATGTAAAACATATAATTATTGTTAAATAGTTATAAATAACGTGATGTTTTAAACGATATAATTATATGAGAAATAATTTAAAAAAAATTATTTTAATTCTATGGAAACAATTAAATCGAAACCAAGTTTAAATAAAGTAAAATTTTAAGGCTTTTGCAGCTTTCAAAGTCACGCATAAATGATTTCAATAATTAGCTCCCCTGCCCTTAAAAAATATTTTCCATTTATTGCCTATAGTGTCTGCCATTATTTTTAAATGGGAAATAAATTATAACTGAGAAGTGTTATAAGATTCAAACAATCAGCAAAAATTTTTTTACAAAACTGGGCGATCGTCTACTTATAGTATAATGCTTGTGTGATGATTTATGTTCAGATCTGTGAGTTATTGAATTTGTTTACAAAATAGTTATTTTCAATTACTTAAGTCTGTCAGTTTTTTTGATTTGATTGATATTGAGAATGTGATTGTAAGTGCCAATTATCCGTTCAAAACGTTCAAAGATTAAATGAAGCCTACTAAAATGACAATGAGAAGGAAGATAAACAAATTCTCGATATTATATTTATATATCCCAGTTCCCCCACCATCGAAGGAGAAGGGGATGGACAAGTTTTGATACTTTTTGTTTTCAAATACACTTTAAAGAAACGCATTATCCGTGGCTTCTGATTCGATTTAGCCATATCCATAGGGCTTTTGTTTTTCGGAAGCATATCTACAAAAGAAATCCAGTCGAAGCCCGGCTCGGCTTTCTATGCATGTTCTAAGAGCTAAGAGAAAAAGTAGGAAAGAAACTACTTTCTTCTTCTTACCTTAACCACTTTCCCAAATCTACTACATGTTTGCAACGTCCAGCAGGAAGCTTCAAAGTCCCCAAAAAATATATATATTCTTGATCAGCATATTAAATTCTGAATTGATCTAAGCATGTTTATCCGCCTGTGGCAATTATTCTCCTGGGCTGCGAAAGCTGTCGAATTAAAATTTGGCAAAACATTGGAAGAACTTGCACGCAGCTTAGTACCGAAAATGGGTCAAATCGATCGAAGAACACGCCCACAGTATGACGTAAACTGAGAACAACTGTGTTTTTCAAAAGGAATATAAAATTGGCTTTTTGCTCATTACTCATGAACTACAGCAGATAAATGTACAGAAGCTATAATGGATATTCTGTGGGCGATGCTGTAATACCTGAACAAAAGTGGGAAAAATTAACCATGCCTACCCAACATTATAGTGTATCAAAATTCAATTTTTCTTGTCCGTCTGCTCGTCTGTCCACTTGTCCAACTGTGTCGTATCTACAGTGCACATTCTCTCGTACGCAGAGGTAAGAAGATATCGCTTCAAAAAAGGGATTAAAAATGGCCCAAAAAGGTCAAACAACGCCCACTCGTCTACACAACCAAAACTAAGAACATCTTTCCTTTTCGTGCCTTTGCTCGTTGCTCGGAAACTACAGCACATACAACATATACATTTTCCCAAAATTATTCTACAAAAAGAGAAAGAACCAGTCAGCCCCGCCCAATATTACGGAACATCCAAATTTGCACTATTACGTTTAGTCAACCTTTTATAGGATGGACATGAAAGTTTCGGTCGCAACCGAATATAATTTTCTTACTTGTTATTGTTCTATCTGCTGTGGTTTATAAGTGAGGAGCAAAAATTACATTTTCGCAAACAGAGATGCTACACAATTGCAAAAATGGACAGATGGACTGACATCTGGACATCTTTATCTACATTCTAATTTTGAAACTAGCCAAGGATTTATATACTCTTTGGAGGTTTTCAAGATTGCCTTTACGCGCTATTAGGATATTGGAAATCAAAAACTATATTTTGATATACGGCAATATTAGGTAGTCGCGGTCGATTTTTATCATTTTGCACAGGTACTACAGAATCGCCTACAGAATAGAAAATAAATTTTGTACACTTGTTTACTGTAGTTTGTGAGTAGTGAGCAAAAATCCAATTTTTTAATCCGTTTGAAAAGCAGAGAGGTTATCTCGTATTGTGGTCCCGTCCGTCGACCGACTTGGCCCAATTTCAATAACGACCTGCGTGCAAGAACTTCCAACTTTCGTGTCAAATTTGAAGCCGATTGATGCATATTTGTGACCGGGCGGAATTTACCATGGAAGGTACACAAACACACAGACGGGCACGTTTAAATCGGTTTCGAATTTGATGCTAATCAAAAATATATATACTTCTCCCTGACGTCTCTGCAACTTGTGTGGGAAGATGAATATAATTCCCATGGTTCGGTAAAGGGTTTCAAAAGATTTGTCTACGCCATGTCTTCAAATATGTTGTTAACAAAAACATCGTTCTATGCATTGAAACACGTCCATGATTTTCTGTACTTTTTCTGGCGGATGGCTAAACGTGATAAATATAAATTTAATCTCACACTTTTCTTGTTTCTTCTTGTGTTTAATATAAAAATTTTGCAACTTAAACGACTTAAAATTTTATGCTGAGTTAAAATAAATGCCACTACGTGGACATGATTCTCTTTTATAGAGTAGTGCAATGAAGGTAAAAATAAATTCAGACCTTTAAAAGTTTTACTCGGTGCTCATCATTTTTTCTTTTTTTTTTGTCTACCAAACCAAACCATCACCAAAAGAAAGAAGAGAATACGACCTCATAGTGGATTTAGCCAGCTTCAATATTTAGCTTTCTTCGTCTGTAGAAATCGGTTGCAAATCGTTGGAATGTCGTAATTTTATTATATGGCGCACGGTTAAAAACATCTATTGCTGGGTACAGTGGACCGTAGCCACTGTTTAAATTAGTTTTTCGCGTGATTTCAGCTTCAATGCAAATATCAGAAGTTATTTTTAATAAATCCAGCTTCAGATTAAAGATCCGCTCTTGTTTGGCTTTCACTTGTAAGCCGCTCAGATGGACAATTGTGAGCGAAGCATTTTTCGATGTCGCATCATTCAAAAGTGATATCGCGGCATTTACTCTAGTTTGTCTTGCAGTTCTCACCAGTCGAATTATTGCATTTAATAATAAAACAGTACAGGTGTTGCATATTAATCAACTTTTTTTTTTTTTAATCTTGTTTTACGCTGTAGTGACTTTTTGCGCGCTATTTTTCATTTACGGTCATTAAAATTCCCATAATTAGCACACAACTGAATGTCTAATGAAACAGTTCAAAACGGTGTATGAACACGTGTGCCCCAATAAGACGCTTGGGGGCATTGTAAGCGTTGATAAGGGTTCTAATTGATCAATTACGCCCACCTTTGTTATGCCTGAACAAAACATTACGTTCCAACTGTTTCGAACAAGTTGCTGAACCAGCTAAAGAAAATTTACAAACGACTAAAGGTTATTCCGTTGGATAAGAAAAGAATTTTGTCGCTTAAAGAAACAAGTAAAAACATTGTAGTGGGCTAGGGCTTATCACTAAATATCCTACGCTACTCTACAGTTATTCACATATGGACTTTCAAAATAAAGCTTTATAAGCGCTCGGAAAAGTAATGCGATTGGAATCATTTTCAATAGCATTCGTCTTTGGGCCAAAACACATGAGTGTAACAAATATCATCAAAGTACGTTGGGCACAAAAAAACAATAAGATCAGATGGACAAACTGGCTCAAATCGATTCAGAAAATAAATCGTTGGGTGTAGTGAGAGAGATGAGTCAATCTTAGCTCCTTCTGGCTGTTGCGCACGTCCGCATAAATTGAATACAAATGCACAAAGCACAAAGGCTATAAAAAGCGAAAACACTTTTCGTCCAAGCAATTAATTTAATGTTTTTTTTAATGTTTGTGGCATAAACGCTGATTAAATTAACTTGAATAATACAATTAATTAAAAAAACGTTTTATCCAGAAGCTAGGCCTGAAAAGTTGACATGAATTTCGTTTACTGTTCTCAAAAGGTATGTTCACGATACTTCCATAGGATGTAGCCTGCTTTAGGTCAAAGTCAAAAGAAGTCAAATGCTAGTCTGCCGACCTTCCCCACACGGCTGTCGACACTTGTTAGATGCCCCCGAAAACTATTTCAAAAAGAAAAACTTTAAAATTTTTAGATTTGAATCGAGTTATTTGGTAATAACTTCAAACATTCCTACAATTTCACTCACCAGCCTAGTTGTTTATTTGAAACTTAACCGCAGTATTCGTTAAATGATATTTGAATCGTTAATTTTTTAAATAAATGTTGTAAGCATTTGGTTATTTTTAGGACGTAATTAATCTCCTGCATGCGCCACGTGGACGCGATTTACAGCAAACATTATATTTCTTGAGTTAATCTGTGTTCGAGACTAGATTACCAGCTTGCCATGGTACGGACTATTCTATTTTTGGGTTGTTGGCTGGCTTTAGGCGACATTTAGCCACTTTTGCATCTGAAATATTCATGCATCGTCTACTGCCATCCAACTTTCTCTCACGTGGATTTTAAATGTACAAGGAGAAGTATTGACCCAGCGAGGCCCTCATTCGTACTATTACATTGAATGAGCCGGCGTTGTAAGCCCACTCTTTGGCGGGTTCGGGTCATTTTCAACTTCTGTAGGAAGTTGGTCGGCGATATCTTCATCTTTGCAAACAGGAGAGTGGTCACCACAGACACTACACAGTTGGGCCGATGAACATACTTAAGTGCATACCGAATTTGAAGCCGGCCGAGAACTTGTACACTTTATGGGGCCTTTGAAATTTTTTTCTGTGCGTTATAAAGGTATCGGCGGAAAAAATTTTTATACCCTGTAATAGTGGACAGACGTCGTCAATCTTTTCAATTTTTGTACAGGTGCTACAGCATCGCCCATAGAACACACGTTTAATTTTTGTAGTTTATCCGTTGTAGTTTATGCGTAATGAATAAAAGCCAATTTTCTATTCCTTTTGAAAGTCACATGTATTGTCATTTTATGTAGACGTGACCTTTAAGCGATTTGGGGCATTTTCAAAAGCAAGCTGCGAACAAAAACTTACCAAATTTGAAGTCGATAAGTTTTGGATGAGGGGATTATTTGAGACAGACGTTACACACACGGACAGCCGCACATGCTTAAGTCGATTCAGAATTTGATGCTGATAAATCACAAAAGCTGTCATATATTAATAATTTGGTTATGCAACCTAATTTTCCACTTTTTTAAATGATATAAATGGATTAAATAAATGTGCGAAATATATGAAAGAGTTGAAATGTTTTTATCTGTTCCGTAACAGTACCGTACAATCTCATTTTTCAACGACAATTACGAGTGAATTTTAGATCAACATTGGTTTTTGGACTATAGTAGAGCCAGTCATTAATAAATCAGGCCCATTTTCAAACTTGACCTGTGCTCATCAGCCAAGAGCAAAACGACAATCTTTCAAATTTTGCTCTTATGAGATTTTCGGCGAGCGCTATATGAAAGAGTGCAGAAAACAACCAATCACAACAATAATGAAAAAATATGAAAGCAACTTCATGGCGCCTGTAATGAATGCCGGGATTACGAATATTGATTAGACCGGAAAGATAAATATTATAAACGACACCACCTCTTTGGCTTATTCTGTTTAAAAATATGTTTCTTTGTTTATTTTAGCTCACCTGCATTGCAAAAAACATTTGCAATTATCGTAGTACTCAGATATTATTCATTGGAATAAAACACTTTTGCTTACCATGCAAGCTTTTCTAGTTTATTTTATCATTGAAATTTCATGAAACGATCAAAAGAATGTTATGGATAAGTACACAGTCAGATCGCATTTATTAAACATAAAAAGAAAAAATAAATAAATAAATAAAGCTGTTCTTGCTTTTTAACAAATTTCATCAATTTGTTGTTTAAAGTGTATGTACTTATTAAATATATATATATATATATATATATATATATATATGTGTGTGTGTGTGTATTTGTAAGTAAATGCATACACGCGTTTGTTGCCCTTCGACAAAAAAATGCCATTAAATAGAAACATACTTTTAAATTAATTGTATTATAAAAAAAAAAAAAAAAAAGTTAAATTACTCACCCATAAAAATCGAATGTAAAAAAAGCTATAGTCAACAAAAGCCCACCATCTTCTACACTCTACACCTTAGTGCTATCTAAATATCCTCCATCTTCACACACAATAATTTCCCAATAATCACAATTTAATTTTAAGCCGGCTTAAATACCGCAAGATGAGACAAGTCCGGAAAGACAAAAGGAGATTCTTCAGGACGACTTCAGTCTGCTTGACTTTTTTACATCATATTTCGATAAAGTTTGTAAAAATTAATTGTATAAACAAAAAATTATTCTTAAAAAAAAGTGTTCCCAATAATGTGTTTAAAAGCGATAGAGGTCCACTCCACAATATTAGATGAAATACAGGCGGCCAGCTAAGGCATATTATTGAAATGAATTGAGCGCGAAATTCTGAACTGAAGTGAACAGTAATGGCGTAGGGCTTGACAAATGAAATTTAGAAATTCAAAGATAGCATAGGTATATGCGCGAGTATGTGCCTTAGTGTATATTAAGTGATTTTACTTAACATTAATGAAGATCAAAAATTTACTCTTATTTTTTACAATATATGTGTTTGTATGAATGTATCATATTTTTTTCTTCTTTTTTTTTTTGGGTTGTCGGTAAAGTAATAGCCAGTTTTTGAAAACGTTTAACATCTTAGTTACCCAGTTAACTGTGCATGACGAGTATTTACCGTCCATAAGCCACTGTCGGTCTTCCTCATACTCTTTTAGCGTTATGAATGTGTATTTGTATATATTGATCGTAATGAATCTTTGTCATGTTGTCAAGTCGCTTCATTACGACTTAATTTCAGAAAAACAATGTCAAAATTTCATTAAGTTTTCACGATCTTACAAGACAATTGCTTCTTCAAACGTGAGAATGCGCGTACAGTTTTGCTAAAGACTTGAAAAGTTTTAAAGTTCTAAAGTTTAGATTTTTCGTTTATAAGGAACTTTCTGTTCCATCGCGATAATTAAAATGTTAAACTCTTATCGCATGAGATAAGAAATTGCACGGGAGAAAAGGGTTTTTAAATACACATATCATCATTAAGACTTCACAGCCATTTCCAATACAATTCGAACACGTGAATAAACCTTTTCACTTTTCTGACAACCCAATCATGTCTTTTTTTTTTTTTTATTTAGATTCTTGGATTAATTTCGTTTATTCCTAAAGTTGTCTATATTCGATTCATATATTGTTAATTATTATTAATTCATTTATGGAATCTTTCATGGTTTTTTCTATCACTTATTAAAGCGTAGCGTATCATATGTCATTTTGTAAATATTTTGCCAATAAAAATAAACCAAAGAATTACTAAATTTGTTTGTGTGCATTGTATGCATTATACATATATGTAGATACATGTACGCATTTTGAAATTCTCTATGCATTGTTAGATACTCGCAAGTTTCTTATTGCTTTCTTGCATATAGAAATTTGAACATAATGTGTGTGTGTGTATATTAAATAAAAAACATAATAAATAAAGGTTTGGAACAAGAAACTTCACAGTAGTTATTGTATGCAATGATTTTGAATTAATGGCTTATTATCATTATTCTATATATTATCTTATTCTCTTTCTATTCTTTATGCTTTAATTCTCTGGAATGGTTGCTAAAGCTTTCGAATGTGTAGCATTTACTATTATAGTAGTCTCACTGATAGCTGGTGTAGGATTTATCGCATTAACCACACCGTTGCCACCAGCACTTGCCGTATTCTCATTTAAATCCAATTCCAATTCTGGTATCGGATCACGCCAATAATTGAAATGCGAAAATTCGATGGCAGCAACTTCATCCGGTTTTATAGGAGGGAAGAGTTGATCAACAATAAAGGTCATGCTACAATATCTGTAAAGAAATAAGAGAATAAAATCAAATGAAAATTAATTCAAAAAAATTAAGAGTTCAACAACATAAGTAAAACTTGACGTCACACATAATTGGAGATATTTATAATGCAATTTGTTTACCACCATCCACCATTGCATTGGGACTTCAAAGACTATTCAAAAATTTTCACAAGTTTGCTAACTTCGTGAACAAAAGAATGAAATCGACTTAGCAGCTCTAAATGCATATACGCAGGTACATTTTATGAGATCTCTGTGTGTGTTCTCCTATTTATTAACGAATAAAAAAGTTACGTTCGCGTACTACGTTCGCAGATTCTCTTATTAAAGATAGCCGTATTAGTGGGCTAATCTTGTTTTTTTCCCCTCGCCTTTTGTTGTTTGGTTTGGTTTGTTGGAAATATTTTCCCGTCATTCCACAACAGTATCTCCTATTATTTCTAGGTTCAAAAGTGTACGTGGCATGTTTGCAAACACATTGTCTTCGTAAAGCCAGTTTCAGATCAGTTCTGCTGTACATGGGAAATTGATCGAAAGGGACAATTTGTTCACCCTAGCCTTGGGCAGATCGATATCTGTTAGATACAATGTACGATCGTATTAGTTATTCGGTCGTATCATTCCTTCGCCGATTATCTGCGCTAAATATTTATACTATATTTCAGTGTAACATTTTTTTGTATATATGAACTTAGATTATTGCATGTTACGAGCATGATTATGGGCACAAAATTCCGGTTTTCAAACTCAGCTCTTCGGTGGCAACTAAACGCTCACACGTCAAGCTTTAACTTTCGATCTCATTTTAAGCCTTCGCGGCTTTATTATCAAATTGGCGGACAGATCTGACGCAAAATCCTACACCAATCGCGCATATATCTATTTGAAGATGTTTCCTCTGCACTTTCCTTGACGACACAAATCTAATACAGTGCAATAGGCATAGGCATAGAATATAGACACTTTCATTCTGTGGTAGTATTTTTAGAAGAAAGCAAAGTTCGCTTGTTTTTCAAGATGCTTCTTTCGGAATACGAGTCAAAATATATAACTCTAAAGAAGAAAGAATAATCATTTAACGCAACATAAATATGCCAAGAAGCTTGTCACAATAATGTTTTAAATTATATATAGGTAAGAAAGGAACTAGTACACTGACGCTGACTCTTCACTTCTTTAATATTTTCAAACTTCAATTGGGAAAGTTAACTTAAAACTTTTTAACTTTTTATCTCAGTCATAGCGTTTCTAGTATTCCAGCAACATCTAACCTAAATCGACGCGTGAATGTTTTTATAATAATTTCAATTTTAATATCAATGAAAGACTATAATCGACGAGAACGTTTGCGGAGAATTTACTACAAAACTTGGGAAAATTTATTACATTTTTGGCAGCCGCTTGCGAATATTCTCTAAATCATATTGCAGAAGAAAATGCCTTCTTGTCATTTAAAAGTTTTACTTTTTTGTCAAATTGAAATACTATTTCTTAAAAATGTGTCAAAGTCTATCAATCTAAACAATAAATGAATATATTTAAGAATTAAATAAAATGAATATGAAATATACAAGTATTCAGGTGTCGCTTTGATATCACGAAACGGACAATGCGCGTGGGGATAGTTTGGAATACAATAGCTAGTCCGTATTCCTAGAATCTACATCAATTTATAAAAGACGATCAAAGTAGCACTTATTACAAAGCATTGAAATGCTTCTATTATATATTGTTTGTGTGGATTAGACGCTTTGATTAAACATGTACAGTTAAGCAAGTGGATAGAAATTTTACTGAAGTAAATGTAAATGGCCCATGAGACACTGGGCCGTAATATTTACATATATTTGAAAAAAAAAAAAAAGTATTTTATTTCAAGAACCCGTTACGCAATGCTGCAAATTGTGGATCAGAAAGGTGAAAATATCAATAGTCTCTTAAACATTTTAAAAATCACAAAAATATTTCATTGTCAACTGCTATAAGTTGATTACGAACTTATTTGAAAAGAAGGCCTAAAAGTAGGCAACATTTTTTTGCTTTCTACTCTGCCCAACATATAATCGTTTGTTTTAATTTGAATTAGTTGTTGACGAGTTGGTTTTAATAGTTAAATAGAGATGGCAAAATAAAAAACATGGTGTGAACCTTAACCCAGACAAAAAGCGTCTGAATGCAATAAAATTAAAACACCAAAAATCAATTATTAGATATGGGAGAATGTAGACTAAATCTTATTAATCTCAATACAAATTTGCGACGGAAAATTTAATTTTTTAAACATCGTTTTTTTTTTGTTTCTTAAAAAAAGGAAAGAAAGTAAATTTCATCTTAGGAACGACCCAGACCTATATTTTCAGTTATTATTTGAGTATTTATTTGATTTTTTAAATGTTTCAAATTGTCGAAGTCCGCCACTTAATAATGTAAATAGTAAACAATTCAATGAAACTATTTTAAATTTTTGGGCAAAACTTCTAGGGTCTTTGATCAAGTGCGTATTAATAATAGTTTTAATTCGTTGATTAACAACTTATGCAACTTTGTGGCATAGCTTGATTCAATGGGAAGCTTGACTATTTTCGTCAAAGAGATGGGGCCATGTGCCGTACAAGCAAAGAATGTAAAACTATGGTTGGCAAATTGAAAATTCTGTAGTTCTAATGCTTACAACAAATTGGCCAAAGACTGTGATATAAATATCGCACGTTAAATAGTTTTATACAATATTCTGTCCACATGGGCTAAAAACGTAATCGACCGATATCATAAAATAAATAAATAAATAAAACAATTTAAATCTAAGATAATTTTTTAGATTTTTGAAAAGTTTATTTTTTTTTTTTTAAATAATCAAAAATACAAATTAAAAAATATATATTATCGATAACTTTCTAGCTTTATAACTTTGATAACCACGATAGCAAGGTACACCACGTAACGCTTAGCATGTCTAGAGACATACTCATAGACTTACTTTAAAAAGTATAAATGTAAATTTAACTAAAATAGTAAAACAACTAAAATATAGTACGATAGTCAAAAAAAAAAAAAAAAAAAAATCGAAACAAAAAAATACTTTACAGTTGATTCGTTGGTAAATAAACACATAAATTATTAACTTTTTTTCTAACCTATTTTTCCTAGCGTAACAACAACAATAACACGTAAACTCACAATTGTCACATTATTCTGTAAATAACAACAAAAATATCACAATGTAATTAGAAACCTATCTATTCTCCCTACACAATTATATCGTTCGGTGTATGAATACTTAGACTTGTTATGGATAGAGCATCAGCTACGATGCCATCATCAGGATCATCAGCATATTCATCGCTGAAGATATCGGCATCGTCGTTATCGTCCTGATCGCTAACAATAAATTGTAATTCTTCCTCCTCTTCATCGTCATCGAATACATCAGTTTTATAATCATATTCATCATTATCCAAAAAAGGGAATAGTTCATCAACTTCCAAGGACTGGTTAAGATAACCACTATAGCAAATAAGATTAAAAAATTTTCAAAAAAAAATTTTTTTTTCGCTTTTAATAGACATTAACGAACGATGCAATTTACTGACATGTTTGTGTCGATTAGAGTGGCGATTTATTATTAGTTAAGTATTTACACGGATGTGTGGACTATTAAATTAAATAAGAGGAGGATAAAAAAAAACAAAAGGTTGAAAATACTTTTGGCCAATTGTTGTTAGCATTAAATACGCTTTCCACCAGATTAACTTAAACATTCGCGATCGCTTGACTTAACACTAGCCATATTAATGCGCATACATATAAGCAGGGTTCGGTGATATGAGCTAGTCATGAAAACTAGTGAGTGGTTTTGAGACCATTTTTAATAAAAAAAAAAAACGGTTTTTAGCTTAGCTCAGGATTAAATACTATTAATAATTCCCTGTTACTTGGGTTAAACAAAAGCCAAATGTTCTTAAAATGTATGAGAGCTAAAATATAATATAAATTTTTTTATGTACTTACGAAGATTGGAATGTTTGCGTTAATTCATGCTTCAACTCGCCTTTGGTGTTAATGGTAAAGATACGTTTAATGGGTATGCCTACAGCACGATAAGCCCAAACGTCCTTTAGGAAAAGATATGTTTTATTATTCGTTTAATTTTTGAATATGAATTAAAAGCTTACATTAATCCGATTGCCATAACCGGCATAGAAGGGATCTTTATTAGGAAATAGTTCCCTGATATCCGAAAGACAAGCAATTTTAAATTGCTCAGGTTTGCGCTCAATCACCTCACGATGGAATGCTGAAATTAGGGAAGTAGGATTCAATAGCAACGGGCCATCAGGAAGTTTAACATCACCCTGACGTATGGAACGTAAGTACTCGCGTGTGGCCCGTGATTGGCCAATAGCTCGTGCCGATAAATACAAAAGTTTATAACCGTTTTGTTCGATTTTCGAGAACAACTGAGCCACACCCAATTGAGCCCAATCTTTGCCAACCATGGGCAATAAATGGCCGAGAACATCTGACTTAGTTATGGTACCATCAATGTCGGATATAACCACTTTATCGTTGTGCTTCCAACGAAACAAATAACATTTGCAACGTGTGGTACCCTGATAAGCGGTAGTAACGCTGAATTCTATTTCATTCATACCTTCTTTTAAATTTAATTGTTTCTGCAAAAAAATATGCAAAATTTTAAATAAATTTTGTATATGTTGGTTAATATAATGTGACTTACGATCGCTTCCGAGCTTAATCTTAAACTCTTTTTGAAACGTTCGTTTTTGATCCGCTTATTATTACTATCGATGACGCCTTCACCTTTCGAAGATGCTTGAGACAAATCCTCCATATTATCTACCATGGCAGAAGTATTTTCAGCATTAACAGTGGAATCCGTTTTACTCAAAGTCCGATCGCTTATGTCTGGTGAATTTGGACGAGTAGTCTGGGTAGCCACAGCAGCTTGATCTGCTTCTGTATAAAAATAAATTGCAGAATTTCAGCATAATTTAAAGCAAAAAATGAATATAATTCCATTTACCTCTTTCTTCTGCCTTATCTTCTAATTTAGCAGTCTTTGCATCGGGATTTTGTGAACGTCTCCAATACCACCAGGAACGTTTAGCCTGATGTTGTGTCGAAGTTGGTGTATTGGCATCGACTTCAGATTTATTGACAGCAACCACATCGTGCTTTGCATTTGTCATTAATTGTTCGACGGCATCCTTAATTTAAAGTGAATAAATTATTAAAAAAATTTTTTTGTCTTAAAGTTAACAGAAAGTCTACGGAAAGCATTTTTTGTAACATTTATGAGGAATAGAAATTTGTACATTTATTTAACATTCAGATGAGACATTCACTTACATTGGTTAAAGGCTTCTGGAATGTTATAATGGTCATGATAATTGGACATGCTGCGGTCCAGCTGTAATATTTGCCATTCAAACGTACAACTAAATTTGGTGAAGAAAATATACTGGGATTCTGACAAACCTGGTAAAGGTAGTAAAAGCATGACAGTAAATAACAAGTGTTGGTTAACGTTAGCGACTTTAAATGTTCACGTTCGCATATGGCATCGTGTTATAAATATTAGTAAGTAAAAAGTCAAAACATTTTAATTTCGAAAATTTGAATTGGTAGCTTCACGCAATAAAACTCTTAACTTTGACTAAATCTCTTTCTTGAATGTTCAGTATTGTGTTTGAAATTTAATTAAGAGTTAAGAGATTACATTAAGCCGTAAAAGTTATTCATCTATTGCTTACAGCCAATTCAATTACCAACTAAACATCTCTGTTATTCAGAGGGGTTTTTAAGAGCGACGATATTAATAAATATTTATTGGTTTAAGAACGAAAAACATGCAAAACTTCAGCGGTTTATTTTCTATACTATGTGAAATTATTTCTCACATGGATTATTTTCTATACTATGTGAAATTATATATCACTTCTATTACAGTTAGACACAACTACCACCGATTATTTTCTATACGGTATGAAATTATTTCTCACTTCAATTTTAATTCGACGCAACTGTCACGGATCATGTTCTATACTGTATGAAATATTTTGTTATTTTCTACTTTTTAAATATAGACTTTTTTGTAAATATGTTTTTTTCTTGTAAAATATTTTTTATAACAAAACCAATATGTCGGTAGGGCAAGCGAGGGAAATCGATCTCTTTTTGTACCTACACCACTAGTGGTATTAAGTTTGTGCGGATATATGCAATACCTAGACGGAGCTGAGATTGGGGCAATTTTTATTATACCCATTCAGAATCCGTTTTTGCATCGATCTATGGGTTCAACTTAGTAATAGGCACTTTTAAGAAATGTTAATGAAATTTGGGAGGACGAAAGACGATCATGATTAAATCCGACCATTTTTTCGACCACTCCCCATGTGAAGCCTTTTCTTGAAATGCCATTATATGAATAGCGACTTTGTACTGTATGACGGGTTCTAGGGTATTTAATAGTGAATCATGTCCCACTATAGTGTTTCTATTTGTTTTTCATTATCTTCTTCTTCTCCTGTTCTTCATTAAATAAGCCATCTAAGATTCGCTGATTTTTGTTGATAAATGTATATAAATATTCCATTTTTTTTTTGCAAGCGATATGGACGTAAAGGAGTTAAGAGAAAAAAAGGGATCAACTATTACAAATCACGCTTATCGCGTTAATTTAAGTAACCGTCGTAAAGTAATTCGAACGGGCATCCGTTAAAGAGAATTGGGTTGATGATATGCGCTTTTGATAGTAAATCGATAGTAAATATGCAGACTACGAATAAATAGGAAAGCCTTGCAGTGCTCAGTGCTTTGGAAGATAATTAATAAATAGCAAGTGTTTAACAACAACATACATAGGAAACTGAAAACATTTTGCAATTTGTATGCACACATCTTTACAATCAAATGAAAATGAAAATTACTTACATCTTTATATTTAACAGCGTTACGTTCAAATTCTTCGTCGGACGGATCACCTTTTTCATTGAAGCCGCATAAAGACATGGCAACAAAATCCAAGTATCTTTTTCGTCATAACGCAAGAGAAAAGAAAAACCACTTAACACTAATCCATTAAGAAAGCAAGTGAAAATAAAACTTACTTTCCATCAAGCGGTTTACCGTCCTCGTAATCCGAATCTAAGCTCTTTTGTCCTTCAAGAGAGCTGGGCGAATGTGGCAAACTAGTACCATTACCGCTTTCACGATCGTCTTCGTTTTGTAAAGCAGGTGCAGCGGGCGAGGGTTCTTTAGATATGGATGATGTAGGAAAATATAAGGCCATCCTTTCGGGATCCATGCGCTCAACGTCGAGATCAGACAAATATATGCCGCCATCGGTGACTTGTTTACGCATTTTGTTATTTTTTTTCATAAAGTTAAACATACTGCTAAGCATTGAGTTGCGTTGAGCCTGAGCTTGAGCCGATTTATTATCGATTTGTTCTTTGGGTTCGGGTGTGGGTAATTCGCCCCATTTCCAAGAAGCCGAGCTAGTTATTAATTCATTATCGGCTTCCTTTTCGCGTAAAGAGATCTCAAGTTCACTGTCACTTTGAATGGGTGTAGACGGACGACCAGCACCACGGCCCACACCGCAGGGACCATTGCCTCCTGATGAGGTAATTTCCGTATCCGAAAAGAAATGAATATCTAAATCGGGTATACGTGTATTGCTAGGTGTTAACGGTGATGTTTGACAAGTCTCAGATAAGGGACTTTCGTCGCCAGTTGTGGCAGTTATTAAAGCAGCTGAAGGTTGTTCTCCCGACTTGGGCGAAGCTTCATCATTGGAGGACGAATGTGTAGTGTTATTTGAAATTGATATGGAAATAGTGTCACCATCCTCAATTGGTTTATCCTCTGGGCCATTGGTGGCCGTATTCAGTGGTGTACTGCCACTAACTGAACTGCTGGTGGAAGATTTACGCTGAGAATTCTTTTTCTTCAGTTGAGATCTCTTGCGACGTCTTTTTTTGCTTTTAGACTCATCCTTTGTGCTATTAGCATTTGAATTGTTCACGTCCTGCTCTGAATTGTTAACTGAAGTAATTGATATTTTAATTTCTGGCTTAATATCTCCCGAATTTTCCTGTGTTAATGTATTTTCTATTTCTGCTTCTAATTGATTTATGGAATTCTCATCTGACACTTTGGTCTCTACAACAACTGCAGTCTTTTCTTCCCTTTGTGTGCTATTGCCCCAATCCTGAAATTTGCAAACATATACACATTCTGCTATTTAAATATTATTTTTAAGTTTATTTATCGTCACCTTGTCTTTGTCCAAATTATCAAATTGAAAAATCTCTTCATGTTCTGCCCATTCTTGGCGTAATTTTTGTGTAGTATATTCTTTGAATTTCTCAGTTAAATTCCGTCTTTCCAAAGTGTTATCGGTATGTCTAAAAGAGGCAAGAAAAAATCTCAAATAATTTTATTTGGAATTAAATTCGATTCGTGACTACTACCTCCTTTGGCTGTAATCGGACACTTGATTTTCAAACTTCGGCAAAGTCTCTGATTCTCTGGTTAATTCCTTTGAAAAATCAATTGAGTTCCGTCTTGGCAACGGTAAAGGTAAAGGCAATGGCAAGTGAAGATCTTCAACAGCCTTTCTATTAAAATGTGATTGTTTGAAAGTAAACAATAATCGTAAATATTAAGTATTTCTATAAATTTTCAAGCAGTAAAGGGAAACTTACTTTTCTTCATTATCGTCCTCCTCTAATGTGATTGTATCGTTACTTCTAAATTTATTTGGGAAATGATCAGATGGTATTGGTGAAGTGGCTAAATTTTCTGGCAATTCTTCAACGTCTTCTTCGGGACATTCTTCAACGAAAAACGCCTCACCAGAATCACCAAGTTTCATATGAATGTCGACCGCTTCGCCATTTATTTCAATATCCACCTATAAGACAAATAGTTTACGTTTACACCTACGTACAAGCGTACAAGCAAGTACATGTCTTCAACTAGATTCTATGTCCAAGTTAAATAAGCTGATGCTAATTGTGTGGCCACCGTGGAAGACATATGAAGAAATATGGATTGGCGGTTCTACAAGGCGCTAATTCGATTGGCCAACGGAACAGGAAAAATTGTTGTGCAGATAGGAAATACGTCTTTTGTTCTGTAATGCCTTCTTAACGCGACAAATTTTTTTTACTTTTTTTGGAACTTCAATTTTCACCAGTTCCGAAATCAAGTAATTTTAAGCGATAATACCAGACCCTGTAGCCATAGTCATTTTCTAGTGTGGTCACAGTGTTTTCCCGACCCATTATTCGCTAACATATCAAATGTCAACAAATTGTTAAAAATAGTTCCCATAAGGAGAAATTGAATTTCTTTAGTTTGTTTGAAGGGTATATTCATATATTTCAAATCCAACTATATCTATACTTTAAATGTTTAGCAGTGCTCTGGTACGCTGTTCACAGAGCTCTATTAACAGGTATGAAAGGCGTCCTCACTAGTTAAATTCGAATTTATCTTTACACGCTTGCCATGCTATGATATTCATATGGTCGAATAAATGCGAAGCAATCGTTGTTACTTACCACTTTCTCTCGACTTCGAAGAACACCCAGTTTGCCAAAACGTACGTGAAAGGGCGAACATTGAAATTCACCATTTGGCTGTTCGACGACAATAACATCAATGGCACCCGTTAACGTAGCACCATTGATTTCACTGTAGAATTCCTTAAAATTACTGAAAACCTTAACCAAACTATTCATTTTTTTTTTTTTTTTTTTTTTTTTTATTTTAAATTATTTTAATTTCTTCTGCTCAGACCAGAGGCAATGCAATCAAAAAAGGGCACGACGATGATAGTGATTTGACTTCGATCAAATTACTGCAAATATGCGGTTTATTTAACTTTGTTCTTGTTGTTAATGGTTTCCCTTGAAACTTATTGATTCTCATTTATTTAGTCATTTTCTTATCCATTGATTGCTTGGTTAGTAATTAAATTATGTGATTTTGCCTTCTGGATTCAATAATTTCTCCTGAATAAGGGCAGAATGCGTCTGCTTTGCTGATGATTTTAACGCAAGACGTTGTTGTACTTATCTGAAAAAGAAAAAATGAAATTTTGAAATATTGCATGAACTACGACGCAACAGAGAAAGAATATTACAATATGATTAACAACAATAGCGATTGGGAAATGTATCGAAGCACAGTTAAGAATAAGAAGCAATATATACGCCTTGGGATAGTAGCTTGGATATTTGATAAGTTCAACGAACAATCAAAGCTTGGATACACAACATTTCCAGGAAATATGTAAGAATCATAAAGTTCTCCTTAAATGTTTTTTTTTTTAAATTGTCTCCTATTGCTCTAATAGGTGACGACTAGAAAGTAGAAGAAGAAGTGAAGAAAGGGGAAGATATAGGGAATTGACTGCAGCCTAATGGTTCTATGTGCCCGATCGGTAAGTGTTAGACCTTTACTGGCCGAACACAGACTATAATTTCATGTATAATGACTTCTTCGTCGCGGTTCTTACCTGCTCGGCTAGGCCACTCTTGCGGACCGAATAGGTCGCTTAGGGCCTTTATATTTAGATAAGGCCTAGATTTTAAATAACTAAGTCCCCGCATAGATTATAGTTATTACATAACAATTTCAAGCTTTCCTTTAGCAAAATGATGACATCAATTTATCTTATCGGCTTATCATCTTTACCAAACATTCCTTTCTCTGAAATTGCACTTTTGAGTTTTGTTTCAGAAAAATTAACGGCGCCTATAAAATGAACGGGAAGTGGCTGACTTTTTAATAAAAGCTGATGCAAACCAAAAATCATATCATAATCTAGACCTATTCGGCAAAAAGCATTTATTATACCGAAGAAGGGATGGAGGCCATCCAAAAAGTTTGTACCTTGCTTGTACCGATGCAATTTGCAAAGCTGTAAGCTCGACTTCTAAATGCGCGGTAACACTGCATGAACCTCACGATAGGATCAATAGCTGGCACCACTTTCAGAAATATTTTGGAAAAGTCCTATGTTAGGGAGCACCTTGTACATCCAACTTTTCTTCCTTTTTTTCTCAATCATTAATATTATCACTAATTAATAAGAACTCTCTTTTCCATGAAATCTGGTTCCAGCATGAATTCCAAAAAAACAAATTTTTTAAATTCTAATATCGACTTTGTTAGTGACTTGGTCTCCCCAACTTATCTTTTTCCTCCCCACTTTTTTCATCGGTCCGTGTTTATTTTGTGTTGTGTAGTAAATAATTTCAATAAAGTTCTAGAAGGTGATGCTCGGTTGTTGTTGGCCCAGTTCGACTTGAGATAGGCCAATCTTTCCTTATACCGATTGTATCAGAATCACTTTTTCCATCGATTTGACCTCATCTGTCTGCTTGCGTGTCTTCTTTTCTTGTGTTCAACCCAGAGGCCGCAATTTTTGAGATATTTTGATGAAATTTGGTACACTGACGTGTCTTGGCAAAAGAAATAATGAAATTGAATTGAAAATAGTTCGGATCAGACTACTTTAAATATTTAAAGCTTTTCATCCCACACGATTTTCTAAAGTTAAGGAACATTCTCACCAAACTTACTCCCATGTCCCATTTCTCTATACGATTTGTTTTTGCATGGCATTCCAAAGAACGTATCTCCCGCCCAAGAAAAAGGTTGAGTGTATTTAAGTGGGACGGATTATTTTTAGATCTTTTAAGTTTTTTGCATATATGCAAAACCTATTCGCATAACGGGTGTCCGCCGAAGACATCCAGAACATCTGATGAGCAAATTGATATGTTTCCCCTCCGTAAACAAAGGGAGGATGTTTTACGCAGGGTATGTCGAATTGGGATTAGTAGGGTGTTTTCAATATTTCCCAGGGCAACAGAGGAGTATTTACAATCATTCGATAGATGATTCGTTTTGAGAATATTTTTGCGAAAAATGTCAGATTAATTGATGATCGATTTTGATCAAATTTTTTTAATTGAAAAATTCAATAGCAGTTGCGCTTGCATTGTAGCTCATCTGTTGCCAGTGCTAGGAAAAATGTTTGAAGGACATCAAAGATGCATATATACACATACTCTCAAGCGTAAAACTAAAGACTCGGTTCAGCCGCGGTACTTTGTCGAGAGTCTCCGTGTTGCTCTAAAAATCCCGGAAATTGGGATAGAATTTATTAATAAGAATGATTTGAAATAAGTTTTTGATTTTTTTTTCTACTTTTTCTTCTTCTTCACTTCATTACCATCAAATGTTGCCCAGGTTGAAATTTACATAAGGCAAAGCCAGTTGGAAACATAAGACAGTTATTAAGATTCCTAGGAAATTTTCCCCATTATTAGGTGAAGATTTGTTCGTTTAATTAAAAAACTCAATTTAGCTTTCTGCAAAGCAATATAACTAACACCGAACTAAATTGAAATTTTATGCTGATTCACATTATATACGACGTTAGCTTATTTCTGTCAAATGAATGCAGTAAAAGCGGCAATAAAACAAGCCTTCATTAGCACATCACTAATGGATTTACAATAAATATGTTTGTGTTGCACTCTAACACATTAATTCCACTCACTTATGTGCATATAGAGTGTTTATCATTTCTTTTCCTTTCTTTGTGCTTCTCTTTACTTAGCGAACAACAATATGCACACATTTGCGTGTCACGTTTTGTTGACACATTATTTGCAAAACGTGCAAACACTTAGCAGTAGTGTGTTTCTACTACGTAAGTAGTATTAGATACGACGTTTGCGTAAAACTATGTTTATCAGCGAGCATTAGCGTTTGCTTATGTGTTCCTGTTGTTGAATTTTTATCAAGTTCAAAGACATTTTGTTTTTGTTTTCCTTGACATCCATGCATCACCCACATGATCACAATTTTATATAAAAAAAAAATTGCAATTAATTTTATTTGCACTTTTGTGCAGTTTAGTCGAGTTAAGAGTAACATATAAATGAAATGTAGATAGATACATATCTTAAAAACGAATTATATGTAAATATGTTTGTCCTAATACATCTATCAATTCATGCTCACATATGTGTTTGTGTGTTCTTTAAAAGCATTTTTATATTTAATTGCGTTGTTGACCAAAAAAATATTCTGTTCTAGAAACGACTGAGGAAATTTATTCGTTCATTTTTCAAGATGACTTTTGCAATACTCACCCAGCGCACCTTATGCCAACAATAACAATAAACGTAAAGAATTCGTTTTTAGCCCAGACACGGGCACAGTTGTCCTACAATGGAGTTAAAAGGACGTTTCAGGAGATGCTCATCCTCCACGCTCGCCCCCTTATGACGTTTTTAATTATTTTATATTAACGGACCTCGCAAACAAAGAGAGAGGGGCAAAGAGAAAGAGAGAAAGGAAGAGACATGACGAAATAGCTTCTTTGATAGGAATGAAAACCTTCGGCGCCTTTTAGGTTTTTATCTATTGTAGGGTTGTTAGCAGTCGAGATATGTTCAAATTTTATAGATTGATTTCTTGACCAATGCCCCTTTTTAAGCTTTATCTGTGAAAATAATAAAGTTGGTTAACAATCGAACAATCGGACGGAGGTATTTTTTTTTCTAAGACAAAAACAATGTGGACCCTGGTCCAGAATTATGAGATTTTTAAAGCATATTTTTTTTTGGTACAAACGCAAAGACAAAACTAATATTCTTCTCTCCTTCGGTGGTGTGTGCAAAAATAATGTCTGTCAAAAACGCTCTTGTTTTCTTTCGACGGAAAAGAACTTTTCAAAATCATTGCCAATTGTACACAGCCATACCTTAATATACATAAGTGTGTTTACATACACACAGATGGCTGAAGGCATTTAATTTATTCTTAAACATACATATATTTAGATAAAAAAGTAATTTCTTAAAAATTGTAACTTTTCATCAACATCGCAACAACTGCATTTAAAAAAATTATTAAAAACCAATAAAATTTTCAAAAATGACAAAAGATGTCTCAGAACATCGAAGATTTATTCCAAAGAATTACCTCGCATCCAAGCTTTTCATATCTATTTAGTGAGCCAAAGCACAACTTTTCCCGAATCTTTCTCGTGAAATATTAAAAATTACAAAGTACTTTCACTGACAATAAATCTCTAAGAGCAGCGGGACATGGGCGATAGTTGTACCTAGTTGTGGGGTATAATACAATAATTTTAATAGAATTTTCTCTTATGGTAAAACATTTCCGATCTATTTTAGATTGAACAGGGAAGTGTACAGATAATCGTTAGACGGACAGATGGACAGACAGACTTTTATTGTGGAAAAATTGTACAATATATATTAACCAAAATAGTTTCCATAATTTTCTTTAATATTTTACAATACTTCTGGCAACATGGCGATACCAGGTCGAAAGCACTTATATTGGTTTCGCACTTTTTCAACTTTGTGGATCTGTGTGCCAGCCAAGCCAATCTGCACCGGTCTAAACGAATGGCAACTAGGAGACGCTATGTCTGATGAGTACCCTGGTTGTAGCAAAACTTCGTATTCGAGCTATGACAATGTATTCTGGGTAACTCTTGCACCAAGTGGTCAAAAAATGGCGTTTTCAGTCAATTCGTGCCACTTCCTTTTAAACCGTTGGAACCAAAAATGACAATTGGAATATGATGGAGCAGCACCACCATAAGACTGTGAACGTATTTAGTGGGCCTCAGCAGAAGTTTTCTTCCAATAAATAACAAAGGTAATGAATTTGGAAGAAGAAGAATTTTCATCGCTCTACGATTAATGTCGACGTAAGCTGTGCAAATCAATAATATTAAATTAGAAACTGTGATCTTACGTAGGGGAGGGTCGAAACTATCGAACTGAACCGTTATATACATTGGCATTTCCCTTATCACTTATAATTTTTACCTGTGGAAGTCACCTAACAAATTTGTTGCAGGCACCTAATATGACAATTGTTATATTAAGAGGTGCGTTTATCTTTCAAGTCTTTGCAGGTTTTGCATACGCACACCACACAAGACTAACACGTCTCCTTAGACGATTAGCGTGTCCTAGAGCTCGAATTGATTTTACTTTGCAGAAAAAGTTTAAAAA